GCTGTGAGTTGGAATAAGCTGCGATTTGTAAAAAGCTATTCCAGCCTATTTAATTGAGCAGCTTTGACTTTCTTCCATCCGTTCTAATTTGATCTTCTTGATAACTTTTTGCATTTTTAGCCAATAAAATAGTTTTGGTTGAGATTTATTTAATAAAGAAAGAGTTGAGATAAACCGCACAATTTTTCAATGCGCATGCAAACAACTTTATAGAATCGTCCAGAAAGAATAATGATCAGAACATTTTGGGACAAACTTCAGTTAAGCATTACATTTGAAAGCAAATATGTTAAATGAAACTTAGTCTCTTAGGGGCCCTAAGTTAGGGCATCCAAAATGCCAGAGTTTATTAAATCTACCTATTTACACAAGCAATTACTATAGATACTTTAAGAGTGTTAAGTTGATAAATTATCAAGTTAAACTTGAGAGCAGTCTTACCGAACTCCCATTTTTACTTCAGACTCTCTAATCTTTCTTTGGATAAAGTGAAATTTAATCTCTCTCCCTCTAAAAAAAGGATGGAGTACATCAAATAAAGCAGACTTAGGAGGTGTTTGAATCTACTTCTACTACATCTTCAAGGAGCAAAAGCAAATATTGGAGTATTTGCGTGAGCGTGTAGAAATACTTCTGAGGACCTCCAATATGCTCATAGAAACAGTTTTTTATAAATTGGTTCTGAATCAATTACAAAAACATCCTTAAATAGTTGCACTCCCATCCTTGAAGATTTCAAACTGGACGAGAACAAGGGAAAATCATATTATCTCATCCTTGAGGGTAGGAGTCAGCATCGGACGGTACGGGACGACTCGGTTCAGTACGGTCCTAGAACGGTTCTGGGATGCTTCTTACTTAAGAACCGACACCGTACCATATTATTAAAAAAATGATCCAATGATATATTATATTTTTCTAGTTCTTTCCATTCTGGTACGGTTCATGACAATTCTTCGTACAAAAAGGGAAATCCAGGATCCGCTAACTTATTTTCCATTCGTTAACTAACTTATTTTATTGATACTATATCAGATGCCCTTGAATCGGAATCACAAATTAGAGAAATGATAAAGCTAAGGATATCTCTTGATATCTCAATGTAAAATCATCATCGTCGTCATAACTTTCTTCGTTATTTTTCAATTGTAGTACGGAGTATTATTTATTATACATAAGTAAATAGTTAAAGGAAAAAAAATTCAAATTTCATACTTGCGGGGACGATTCTTTATATTTTAACACATATTTTATGAACTATATATCTTTATACATGAAAAAACAACAACCGTTTTAAAAGCACAATATTTAAAGGGCTAATTGATGAACTTCTCTCTCTAGGCGGCCGTCTCCCCTCGTTTTCGAAGTTGTTTTTCTCCGTTTTCGTCTTTGACGAAGTGCAGCTTTCTTGTGCGACTTTCGTCCGCCTTTCGTGAGGCTTTCTTCTTTGACAGATCACAACGCCTATATTACGGCCAAAGGTTGTGTACCCCTAGCAACAGGTAGGGATGGACTGGTCCCGGGTCGGGACCGGGTCCGGTTCAGGCTTAGGGCGGGCCCACGTTTAGGAAATGGAGGCCCGGTACCGGCCCGACTATGTTCCGGGGCCGGGTCGGGTACTATTTTTTTTATGGGTTTTTGCTTATTAATTCTACCCCCCTCCCCCCCACCCCCAAACACCCACAAACCACCCACCACAACCCGCCTCTTATCCAAACCATTCAAAAAAAAACCAAAAAAGAAATATTGGGCCCGGACTGGTCGGGCCGGTTCCAAGCACCCCGAGCCCGCCCCTAAAACACCCCTGGCTCGGGTCCTTAGCCCGGTCTTGGTTCCGAGCAACCGGGCCGGGCCGATATCGCACAGTGACGGGCCGGTCCAGTACCGCACAGTGGCGGGCCGGGCCGGTCCAGTTCCCAGGCCGGTCCGACCGGTCCCGGTCTATCACTAGCAGCATGTGGAGAGTTTCGAGGATGTGAAGATTTCTTCCCTGATTTGCGGCGGAGGCGGGCTGCCGGGCTTGTCCAGCAACTCATCGGACGCCACTCGACGATTTTTCAGAGCATGGAGACCACCACTTCCACGACTTTTTTATGATAATTTTCTGACATTCTGGGAGATGATGGTGATGACTGTTCACGGCCGCCACAACCTTCTTTCTACAGTTTCAAAAAGCCCTCTCGACAGGCTCACTGATTAAAATTTCCGCCCGAGTCCTTTTCTACACTTTCATCTCCACATCTCCAAGAAACTTCAATGCCTATTTTATTCTGACCTTCTCATTTTAACTTGTATCGTAGCTACCATGAACATATCATCATCCAATTCGAAAGAAGTGAGGTTAAGAAACAAATCTATCAGAGACTCTGAGCTTGTTGGTGACTCATGATCGGCGGCCGGACTCACCATATATGTGACAATGCTTTTTAAAGTATTCTTTTTTGACAATATATTACGTAGTATGTGATAAAAGTATTCTTTTTTGACAATATGATCGGAGCTTTTTTTGAATCTTTCGAGTAGAGTTCCATATATTATGTGACAATGCATTTTAAAACAATTCATACTTCCACTAAAGATGCTCTAAGTTGTAAGTATTCTTTATTCTCAAGTATGAGTTCCATATATGTTGGTGGAAGAATTAAATTGTGAAAATTCATGTCTCTCATAATCATAATACTTGCTAAGTTGAATTAAAGTCAAGATTGCACGCTATAATTATAAGCGAAACGGTTACAATATCCAGGCTTAACAAGAGATCTGGAAAAAAAGGATGACACCCCATCCCTGAGGGCCCCCAACACCGACCGGACAGCACAATGGGAGGACATAAATTGGACTATAATCACAATCTGACAGATAGAGAGTGGGGCTCCATCCCCGGTACTTGCAGAGGCCCTATGCATTTTTCAGCATAGTAACCTTTCATCGCAGTTGCCGGGATTCGAACCCGGGACCTAACCCTTGTGACACTCCCTCGCTACCAGTTGAACTACACCCACCCATGTAACAAGAGATCTGGAAAGACTAATCTAGAGGGGTTTGAACTTTAGTTGATTGGGGAAAGAAGAGTAATGAATAATTTTAGCCAGAAAAGTGGATTCATTATGAAACACGACTCTTTTTAGTATTAAAACGTTTGACAACCTTACTTTTGCTTTTTTTATACAACGGAATGAACCTGACTTCTTTTTCTAGTTGTTCGGGCTAATATGAATTTTGTATACAAAAAAACACACCCAAATTGTTTATATTGTAAGCTCAATATAAACATTAAAACTCCCAAGATGCTTATTGTTGTGTTTACCCGCACAAGTACTCAACTAGTAAAGCGGTGTGAAAGTCTGGACAACGGTCAGATCAAAACCCGCAACACCCGCCCGTGTGTGTCAGGCTGAGTTTATAGTGCACATGAGTATAAGGTCTACCACCATTAAGACTTGTTCAGTTCCCGTGATTTACAACCTCTAAATGTTCTATCGAATGTTCTATCGGTCAAGACTTGGGGAGCCCTTGGAATTAGGGATACAACCTTTTGGTCAATGAAAAATTGAAAACTCCCAAGAAATTGTAACAAGTGTTTGAGCAATGACGTCTAAACTCTTACGCGCATTATTAGAGATCAGATCCTCCTAAAATAGTATGCTGAGTGAGTCTCAGACTCTCAGCTCATGCTGTGTTAACCCATGACATTAGCATTTGCCAATAACTGAAAACCATGAAATGCTACCTAATGGAGACTCGAACATTAATATGGAGTGTACGCTACTTAATAGAGGCTTTTGTAAGTTGGACATCAAAAGTTGGATGTTCAAGACACTAACAGCAGGACTACAATTTGAACGACTAAAAACAGAATGATTTTTTTAACGAACATCTTTTCCTTTTTAATCTATATAATTATTCTTCAAATGAAATAATTTTGTGGTAGATATTAATTATTGTTGGGTGTGTTTCGGAAAATAAAGAAAATTAATTAAATAAAATGACTAGAGAAAAACAAGAAAGGAGATGAAACAGAATTAGTCAAAGCTCGTGCTACGCACGATGTCCTTAAAACGTAATTATTGCCTCCCACGGTGCCAGGAGCGTTGCAACAATCGTTTCCCAGGATACGATGACTACGAACTAATGTTTGAGCACACAAACAAAAGTTCCAGCGAACGAGAACAAGTCTGAACACTCAGGAATTTTTGAGAGACTGGAGGTGTTTTTAGTTGAAGAAATACGTGAGCTCGTGTATGAACGTGTAAGTTCGTGTAAGTTCGTGTCTTGTTGCAAACCACCTGCCAGCCTTTATATAGGAGGATTTGTTGTGTGCAAATGGTGAATTAATGGACCTGAACGTTGGACATCAATGACCAATCCGTTGGGCATTGAATCGTCCATGAACTGTCCATTTAACGCTGCATTAAAAGATAAGAATGTTGGGCATTTATTGCTGTAACAGTTCAGAAGTGCCACCAGAAGACCTCCCAACAGAACACCCATGGGAGGGTTTCTGTCCGAAGCCGGCAGAACACCCTAAGAGGGTTTCTGTCGAGGCCTTCTGCCTGAAGCCACCAGAACACCATACCGAGGCCTTCTGCCGCTAGGCAATTCTGTCAACTGGGAAAAAATTTACGTTTCGGGAAGAAAACAAAAATTATCCGTATCTCTTGAGAGATGGATTTTTGGACGACATTGGTGTCCGCAGGTCGCCCGCGCACGCAAGTCGCGGTTTTTCTTCTCCGAATTCGGGATTTGATTTGCACCCCCCCACGCGCGCGCGTGGAGAGAGCCTTTATCCTTAGGAATCTTAACTCCTTAAGGGGGGAGTCCCTTTATAAAGGGTTGCAAATCCCTTGGGTTTTCTGGTGTGGGAAATTAACACACTAGAAACCTATCCTTTTTCCCTTCTAACGGGTAAACTTCGAAAAACAATTTCTCATTCACCCGTTATCCGTTTTGAGCGTACCATATATCGAATTGTAGCCCTAAGCAAGGACAATCCGAAACCACTTTGAACCCACCCAAATCGGAAGTGGACCCCATTCAAAAAATTGCCCCAAAATAGCCATTTAATGCAATTTTTCACACATTTTTCTAACAATTATTTCATTTAAAAAGAAAAAATATCACCCTCATAATTTTATAGTCTTAAGCTGGGTGCGAAGTCAGACACAGTAAATCAAAGCGTTTAGGCAAAGAGGGAAGAGGAAAAAGTAACTTGAAACTGCTCAAAAATTGCCTGGCTCCACATATCAAGCAGAAATCCCGAGACCAGAGATCATATTTCCTCCTTGATGATGGCAGGTTGATTAGACAGCCTTTTAGATTTGCGTCTGTTGTCAAATGATCGTCTCGGTTTGGGCATCTCTGTTGTCAATGCATACATCTTTACAGCAAATAATTCAACAGGGAACCCCTTTTGATCCTGAAATAAATCGATTTTATACAAATCAGGTATTATTAATGTCCACTTCTAAATAGAAACCCCCATTTATTAGTGTATAAGAAATTGACTTTTCTCGTTAATGTACGGAGTACAATTTAGAACTTATCCAGTTAAATAAAATGGGCAATATTCTTTAAGGGTAAATAATCAGGTGTTTCATAAAAAGTGTATATATGCTCCACAATTTTGAATATTGTCTACTTGTTCATGTTGAACTTTAAAAAATACACATGTTTCATGACTGTACCTAGGTGTAGTACAGAAGTACACATGGTTGCACCTAATATAAATTTGCAAATCTGTCCAAAATAGTGAAATATGGTTTCACATGTAAGGGCTCAAATGCCATAAATCATATTGGGCAGAGAAAATGGTACCATCAGCTTTTATGTAAAGAATGAAAATAAAAACATTTCACAAGATGTTTAGTAATTTGATAGCATACTTGGAGCATAGCTGAGAGAGTTCTGCCTATAGGAGATGCACGGCATCATGCCAGAAAAGATTCATATGTCATATGATTTTCAAATGGCACAAATACATGGAGTGTCATAAATTGTCTGGGCATACCTTCGTCTTGTAAAGAAAAAGTCCGCATTGATCGAAGAGCTCCTTGAAACGTTTATCCGACCTGGTGATGCTCTTATCTGTGTTGTCCAATACAGGGTCTGGAAATGAGAAGCCCATTTAGTAGAATGCAGTAAGTTTGCAAACTTCCTTTTATAATATCAATGGTTTAATACAAAATTATTACCTCACTCCTAAATAAGTCATATTTGACCCGTAAAACTATTAAAATTTGGACATGTAAAATTGTTATACATCATCAATCCTACTTATATTTTAGAAAATTATTTGCTGATCATACAAAATATGTCATATATAACTTGTTTGTGACTTTTTCTTATTATAATTACTATAAAATTAGGTTTTGTTTGGTCAAAGGGGACTTTTTTGTCAAATAAGAAAGAAAGAATTTGAACCTGGTCTCTTCTTGGGACGGAAGAAGTCACAAAATTAAAGAGTAATAGTGTTTGCTTCATGGTAAAACTTATATTGCATTAAATGGGTATGATGTAGAGGAAATGGTAATTGGTAAATTGCCAAAGCTAATTTCATTTTAGTTACACTCAGCACGAACCATAAAAAGTTATTCAAGACACAAACACAGAAGTGATTATATATATGATGAAATCATCCATGATCCATGTCATGAAAATAAATTAACAGATATGAAGAAGAAAACCACATTCTTTCATTCCAAACACTACTTTAGCAAAGGAACTGGTGCATGATGCAATGTAATTTCAGGGCATCATGAACATGGAATGAAGCATGTAATAAAAACTGTAAATAAAGTGCCCACTACCGGACCAAGAATACATTACCTGGATTACTGATTTACTCACAAACAAAAGCTTGACTAAATAGTTACACAAGATAGGTGAGAAAGAAAGCAAGGGTTCAAGATTGCTACCTCCTTTCGCAATGTTTTCCTTTAATACAAAAAGACCACCAGGTTTAAGGCCAATCTGAAAGAAACATCAGCAAGCAGATATTTTATCAGTAAAACTCAGTTTTCTTTTACAAAAACAGCAAGTTAATCGTTTTCATGGAAAAGCATAACAAAATGCAATGTCATCTCGAGGTCTTCTTTAACAATTACTACCTCCGTCCCCCTAATATTGGGACAAATTTGAGTTTTCTCTTGCATGATGGTGATAGGAAGTAGGAACTGCAGTTCTAGGAATGGTCAAGGCACTATGGATTCTATATCAAAGATATTATGACTTAGTTTCCTCAAATATATAAAAATAAGATTTGTTTGTTTGTTGCTCATAGTTTTTTAAAGAATCTTTAAGGAAGCCTAGTTCAATTCCATTGGGTATGAATTTTCTCCCACTTTAAAACTTCTCCTGCTTGTGTGTCAAGTTCTCAACAGGATGTGCCAACATCGCTTCCAAATGAATCACCATCTCTACGTCACCATCTCTGCATTACACTCTATTGAATCTGATTCATTTCCTCACCTTCTCCTAAACCATCAGTCCACCTCATACAACCCAACAACTTCAACGTGGCTAGGATGCACAAGAATAGTATTTAAAATACAATTCAAAACCAATGCAAGTGGCTAAAAAGGAAATGGATTTTTTATTCCATTTTCTATCAGAAAACTACATAACTACCCATTGTGCTCTTATTATAAACAGAGCAAGCATTTATAAGAAATTAAGAATCAGCTTGATTTATGATAGTCATAGGATCTCCTTACCCTTGCTCTCTTGAAAAATGCAATGAAGTCATCATCAAAAAGTTGGTTAATACACCACTGAACCCATATAACATCATATCTTCCTGCCTCAGGAGTGAAGTCCTAAACGAAGAAAATATAGAAGGTAAACAATTAGCAAATCACCAAAACATAAGAATCCTAATATCATGTCAAACTCAAGTAGTGAGAAACAAATTCTTAGCTGATATAAGCAAAACTATATAAAAATTGTTATTATCAGTCTGTCCTAGAATCAGATGTTAAAAAATCAAGAGAATACCAAGGGACCATTACCATGCAAATAAAACCATATAAATGAAACTGCAACAACAACAACATCCATGCCTTAATCCGATAAGAGTTTGGGGTCATCTAACATGAACCGTCATACGACATTGGAATTGGAAAAACAAAGATAAAAAGGGAGACAAACAATCCTCCACATGTATACTCTTCCTCCACTTCACTCTCTCCAAAGTCATATTCACATCTAACCCAAAAAGTACTATATCATTCAAAATCATACAAATGTAACTACATGTGGGAAAAACATTTGAACTCAGCAGCACTTCTCTACCAATGAAGTATAAATTTTAGGTTTGAACTTCGTAATCATTTTGTATTTTTTGTGCATGCAACTATTCTTCCACAATCAACAAATGTTGATTATATTATACATTTTGAAAAGATTGTTAATGAACTAAGTACCCCGAAGCTAGTAATGACGTGGGTATAAGAATTCATGTATCCAGATCAAAGTCAAACCGTAAACTTCTTATAGGATTATATTGTTGATTGCAGATTGTTGTCTTGCTTGAGCACGGAAAACTAGTTTGTTTGCTAAATCTGACCGATCAAAATATCAGTTTCCTAACAATAAGTGTATTGTTGTGTTAGCTTCTATGAAATTTTGCTGTTAGAAAAGGATGAGGAAAAGTATATTTGTTATATTGTAGTAGCTTCTTTTTCTTTCATTCAATTTAGAATCACTTGAAACCTGAAACTAAAAAAGGAAAACAATATAAGAACAATATTTATACAAAACCTGAAGTGGAATACAGAAAAAATTGGCAACTCTGTTCATCCCAGGCGCAGTTAAATTTTCAGGAGCCAAACTCGCACGAGCAGCCTCCAAAAAATGTGGCACGGGCTCAAGGAGGTCAACCTGGATCCCAGAATACTCATATTAAAGTGGGCAAAATGAATTAATCTTCAGCAGGAGATTTCTCGCAAACATGCAAACCAGACTAGTCTTAGCATACATCACGTTGAAATAATAGTGTCACTTCTTCATTATAACCCATACGGTAAATTGTGCTGTCTTTTAGTATTATCAACATGTGTGATTTGACTTAGGTAGTGTTTAGTGTGAAGTAAAATGTGAAACAAAGTTCAGGTATTCAACAACTATCATTTGTAAACAATAGCCTCTCAAAAAGTAAACAAAAATAATAATAATAATAATAATAATAATAAGTTAAAGGGTATTTGTTTAAGTGGTTGACGATGAAAATTTAGAATAAACGTGTTACGGTGTTAGTAAACTTAAATAAAGTATTTTTTATTTGATCTGTGAGAACTGAGAACCTTCTCCTAAAGGTAGCATGATTAGCATCTATATGCTCACACTACGCTCCAGAATAAAAAATTTACACCGCAGCTGTCCCCCATGTTAGTACCTCAGGAGTAACATTTGCAGAATGCTATAATACTATCGTGGTTGACATGATGAAAATCACTTATCACATTGGTTAGTACTTCTGAAAATTAACCATTTTTCAATATTTAAACATTAACTATATAATAATACAGCTTTAACTATTTAAACGCTTAAAATGTTTAACAATACAAATTTAAATAGTTAAACAAACTTGTGAAAATTTAATAAGGCCATTTGTGAAAAGGCTTCCTTTAGCGTGGTGAACAGTGACGGCATATAAGAGTGGTGTCAATTGTCACCACTCAATTTTTTTGTTTAAATAAGACTGGCGAATATTATTAGTTTCTCTGTCTAAATAAATCTCAAATGACAAAAACCCATTTTTTTTCCAACTCACATGCTAAAATCAAATAGGAAAATTGTTATCGGATTGTGGGAATAGTAATTATTCTAACTTTACGAAGAACATGTAAGACAATATGAGATTGTCATGCCAAAGAACTGAAAGAAGAGTAAGGCTGTTCAAACAATCAATCGTCTTTTGAACTCTCTATGTTAGATTCTAAAACCCCACTTGAACTAGTGTTCATATCAACTTATCAAGTAATCAAACTCCCAGGGTTCACTCTGAGAATTGAAAAAACAGTAAATAGACTTTTAATGAAGAAACAAACACTACCAGAGTAAGTTCAAATTGCATGTTGGTGTTAACTGTCATGTGTTAAGAATTAAACCCAAAAAGAGTTCTAGAGAGCAGATGATTGCCCCTCACTGATCAAGGCACTCATTCAATCAAAGTTAGTCGATTTGTCTTTGAGAGTTGGGTACACTTGGTGACTTGGGTTAACCCGATCATATGGATTATGGAACATCTTTTCAGGAAATAATGGTTTTGTACTTTTGTTAGCCATCTTGGACATGTTTGATCTCCATAAAGTCGATCAGTGTCATCTTATCATAAAGGAAGAAGCAGAAATTGTTGTTAACTAAATATGTGCACCTCATTAAAATGCCTTATAAGCACATTCTTGGTGACCCTTCCAATTCCAGAGCCACAATCTGTAAAAATGTAAAGAAAAGTAAGTTCACTAAACCAACAAGGGCTTTAACAAAGTTACTTAGTCACATTATTTTACATTTTACAAATATTGGTTCAGCAATCAGCACCCTAACACAACAAAAAATGCTAGTTGTCCCCGCTACAGGGTATTTAAGAATGCTTCTGGAAGTCAAATCATTTTTGCTCGAATAGGAAACCAGATTTTGCTTGAGAAACCCCTTATTGAAGTGCTACAAATGAATATAGATATAGTAAGTTAGTAACGCAGTAAAAATTCCAAAACTACCTAGAGCTACAATGCGGGAAGCCGGGCTTGCAGCGTCCCTCTGAGCTGGAAACCTTTCGGCCAAAATGGTAGTTAGAAATTCATTACTTGCGGCTACGTCCGCATCATTCACATTCCCATACCCGCCCAGCACTCCATCGACGGTTGCTTCCACATTCTGCTAATTACCAGCAATCCTAATCGTGAGAATTGAGAACAAATATGCATATACAGCGAGAAGATAATTGAGGGAAAAGAGAAGAGAATTGCCTCCCAATAACGAATGGCAGAACTGTACCACTGAGATTTGCTTCCATCATCTCCCGCTACTTCTCTCCACATCTCCTCTGCATTTCTGAAATCACGCCCCTCGGAGTCAAGCCCGCCCGCATCCATGTAGTAGCGATTTCTGTTCCCGTCCTTATAACAACAATTCGCTCTTACCCTATTTCTGCTTCCCAGCAGACGGTAAGAAACGCCGCCGCCGCCGCCACGCCTGTATCTTTCCGGAAACAAATGCGGCAGCAAGTACAACACTGCAGCCAGTCGAAGTCGCGGGCGGGGTAATGTGGCTTGTGCGGGTAGAATAAGGATGTTTTTTGTTTTGGACTATTTTCCCTTCCAACTTAAATAGACCACTTAAATAATTAAATACGGAATAAATCGGATTAGATCAGATCAAACTTAAATATACTCCTTCCGTCCCGAAATTAACTTCTCACTTTCCTTTTTGGGCAGTCCCGAAATTAACTTCACACTTCAAAACTTTCCTTATTTGGCAAATAATCTACATCAAAAAAGTGTCAAACAGTGCCAAACAGAATCAAACAATGTTTAAACAGTGCACTCCACAGTAAAGTCAAATTTATTTTCTTAATCTGTGTGAAGTCAAACTGAGAAGTTCATTATGGGACGGAGGCAGTACCAGATTAGATTAGACTTGATTTTCACAGTTAAAAGATTCACAGAGACCTGACATTTGTCGGATCACACTAGACTTAAATAGACCAAATTAAACCAAATTTAAACAGACCAAATCATCATATTACAGTTCAAGTAAAAACATTCTAACTCTACTTCAATCTGTAGGTTGTACTCTGTAGCTATACAAATAGGACAGTCGTACTTTACCATTGTTTCACATCAAGATCACAACTATTTTAATTGACAATATCATTCAAAATTTTAATAAAAAAATCAGAGATCTCATGAAATTGTCAATGTCATTACTCATTAGTGTAGAGTGGACTCTATACATAAAATTGTGATCTCATGTAAATTTGTCTGGCCGCATATTCTAAAAATATTGTCAATTGAAACATTTATGTATGATTATGGTACTAATTTGATTCATTTAAGAGTGAGAGTATCAAAACGTTACAATGCCAATATGTAAGCAACTATTTATGCATTTCACTCACTCAAATCATTTATTCCGTACTAACTATTTGTCATGTATTAGTTTCATGGAGTTTAACAAAATGGAGAAATGTTGAAATGGTTTACGAATTTGTCTCAAATAGCATAGAGTACATAACTTCATAAGTAGATTTCACATTCCAAAGCACATTAATTTGTTTTTGAAGAGTCAATTGTGTACATCTGTTATATAAATGTTAAAAATGAATCTGACGTGGCTAAAATGTTCAAGTACAGTCGAGTTAACAGTTTTATTATACGTTGCATGGTAAAAATGTCCGGAAATACAAGAAGGGATACTTGAAAGAATTAATGGGGTTTTTCTTAAATATTACTAAATATTAGGACATGAGAATGTGATACGATTATTATGAAAAGTAGATTTATGTAGTTGATATTTGAATGATAAAATAAAAATTGTTTAAAACCTCACAAACTTTATCATATTTGGTATGTGACAATCTTTGTAGGATCAACTGAAAAAGAGAAATTAGATAATTTTAGCGGAACAGAGAGTACTAATAAAAAAGCGATGAAAAAATGTGATTTGATAACTAATAGAGGCTATAGTTGTATTCAAAATTTACATCGTAGTGACTTACATATAGTTACTATGATATAAACTTTGAACGCAATTATAGTTACTCCCTCCGTATCAATTTAATTGACACATTTGTTTTTCACGCAGTTTAAGACAATTACTGTAGACTTTATCAAAAGTAAGAGGTTTTTTGTACTGTAGCGACACTGTAGCGGTACTGTAGCAGTACTGTAGCTGCTTTTTGGATGAGATTCTTTCCAAAAAAGGGAAAAGAGTCAATTAATTTGATACACCATAAAAGGAAAGTGGGTCAAGTAATGCGAAATTTTTTCTTAACTAAATAAAGACCCTTCAATTATGCTCATATATGTTTCCTTTTATGTTATCATCGGTGTTCATTAAGATCTTACATTGTATTCATTTACCGCTTAATTTTTCTATTCGTGTGTTGTTTTATTAGCATTTAGGTTTTTCTTACGGAAAAAAGTCAATCTATTCATTAAGCAAATGGTTTACTAAATGGCTTACAATTATATGAGGCTCAAAATCAACAACTACATAGAAACAACTGTTTTGATAAAAACATGAACCACATGATTAGTTGACCTTCTGCATCATTGGACTGATATATTCAGATCCTCTCTTAAAAGTGACTTAATATCTTTGAAAATTATTCCCACTTGAGAAACGTTAGGGCTACTTTGTATGTCGTCTAGGACTAGAGACGCATCAGTTTCCACTATCACGTTGACCCAACCACTGACTTTGGCCCATAAGATGCCCACAAATGCGTGGTGTACACAAAATGTATACACCTTTTTTGTACACTTGTCTGCTTGAGATAGACAAGTGTACAAAAAAGGTGTACACATTTTGTCTCCACTGAGCAAAACCCTAAGATGCCTTCTCTAACTCCTAAAGCATCTGCCTCAATCGGTCACCAAATCGCCTTCACATTCCGCCAGCGAGCTCAATGAATTATCTCTCGCTATCTCTAGCCATTAATCTGTCCGATCTATTCCCACTTGTTTGGGTGTTGAAAGAGCAACTCTCTTCACCCGTGGAATCGAGAGGGCCTCTTGTTTCCACACCACATCATTGTGTGATTTCCAGATACTCCCTAGTAGTAGAACAAAACGACAAATATCCACCTCTTAATTAAAACAAAAATGATCTTTGAAGCTACTCTTATACCCTCTTTTGTATACACCTATGTTTGTGAAGTGTCTTTTTTTGGGAAAACACTCAAATAGGTCCTCGAACTTTCATAAAAAAGTCAATTAAGTCTTTTATAGGAGGTTTTGTCCGTCCGTCGCGATTTGGGCCAGTTTTCGGTGGAATTTTTTGATGAATTGTTTTGAGCATCTTATTCACCAAATCTAGTTTACTCATACCAAATTTCAGCTAAAAATTCAATTGGGAACACATTCAAATTAATTCTTGAAGATAACTGCGCATTTTTGCGTTCTCGAATTGATTTGAATGCGCTCCCGGTTAAATTTTTAGCTGAAATTTGGTATGAGTAAACTAGACTTGATAAATAAGACGCACAAAAAATTTCATCAAAAAATTCCACCAGGAACCGCCCCAAATCGCGACGACCGGACAGAGTCTCCTGTAGAAGGACTTAATTGACTTTTTTATGAAAGTTCGAGGACCTATTTGACAGTTTTCCCGTCTTTTTTTTGTCTGTAAACCCCGGCTCACAGATAGTATTTTGCACAGACAAAATATTGTCTGTGAACCCGAGTTCACAGACAAAAAAAACCTCCACAAACATGGTGGGTATAAGGTGGGTATAAAAGTGGATACATCAAGCATTGTTGTAATTAAAAACTTGCTGAAAACATTCCAAAACTGAATGTGGGAACAAAACGACGAATGTACCTCCCAGCCTTGTTAATCCCGCGTTCTTCCACACGGCTACAATGTGCGAGCATTTTGGATTGAACCCATATTTTTCAAATTTATCCATGTCCTCACGTTTTTCAATTCACTCTTTATGGTTTTCAAGAGAGATTTGGTGCGATGATTGATTGTAATTTATTTATTGTAGAAATTCTAAGGTTCACCCCAAGATGTAGAGCCTGTTTGTTAGCACGAAAATCGGCTGATTTGGCTGATTCTGCCGAAATTTATGAAGTTCTGGCTGAAGTGGTTGCATTGGTTGATTCTGCTGATTTGAGAAAAAAAAATATTTTTAGAATATATTTTATTAATAAAATAAAGAAAAAATTATATGTAAAAATAGCTAAAATGATCATCTACAGTAACTTCAGCCAGTACAGCCAGAAAAGTAACTACAACCTTACTTTTTATGCTTATTACACAATTCAGTGCGTGAAAACAAAAGTTACGTGTTTGGTGAAAAAGATGACTGATAAGCCTGATTAGCCGAAAAACAGCGTTGCCAAACGGCCACGTAGTTTTTACTTAAAAGTGATTTATGATTATGTCGAGATCCGAGAAGTGTTAGAATATAATCTAGTAGAAGAGTTTACCCTATTTTTTTGTACAACGGAAAGCAAAGAAAGCGAAGTAAATTACCAGCGAATTGTTTAGTGCCCGTTGGTGTCTTCCCGGAGGACCTGAGCAATGTCATCGGAAGGTGATTGGAGAATTGTTAGGCCACATGGAACATTGTGAGCAATGTTAGCGAGTGAGTTCGCACATCTATTTCCCTCTCGCAAGGTATGTCTTAATGTTGTCCCTGAGCAAAGTTGGAGAAGTTCCCCGCAATCCTCAGGAGTACATAGGAGTTAGGATAGTAAAAATAGAGAATATTACCACCAATTTACCCAGGACTAATGACTAGAGTAAGATCCGAACATTCAAATTAGATCTCCACCATTGAGAGCTACTCCCTCCGTCGCGCTATTAACTTCTTGCTTTCCTTTTTGGGCCGTCCCAAAATCATCTTCTCATTTCCCTAAATGGAAAGTTATCCTACATCAAAATAGTGTCAAACAGTGCCAAACAGTGTCTAAACAGTGTCAAACAGTGCCAAACATTGTCTAAACAGTAAAGTCAAATTTATTTCCTAAATATGTGTGTATGTCAAAGTAGGAAGTTAATAGCGGGACGGAGGGAGTAATAAATAGAAGTCTAGAAACCAAAGGCTTTGTGGGGACCCACAAGGCCGTATTGTATAGGTATGTCTTTAGGCATTTAAGGAGTGTTTTCCTTTGCTTAAAAAAGGTGCTTTGGAGATTTTAGATTAAAAAAAGAAAAAATTGAAAATAATAATCCCAATTATTGCCGGTCCGCCGATAATAATCCCAACTATTGATTATTTTTGTATAATCCCAACTATATGGACTGTCCGCCAATAATGGCCCATGACCAAATATTACCTCCTATAAAAAGTGAATTTTAAATAGAAATTAAGTGTAAAAAGTAAAAGCTTGAATTATTTATAGGGATTACTTGTTATATCTCTTCTCATCCACTTTAGAAACTACAACAATTTATTTATAGGGACCATTATTGGCGGAAGGTACCTAATGTTGGGATTATTCTGAAATAATCGATAATTAGGATTATTATAGGCGGACCGCCGATAGTTGGGATTATTACTATCAATTTTTCCTTAAAAAAAGCTATTAAAAAGGTGTTTGCTAACAACAACTTCTAATTAAAAAAGCACTTTAAAGTTAAAAGCTAGAAGCTACGATATACCAGTTTCAAACTGCTTCTAGGTATTCTTGTAAATAACTCAAACTTTTTGGATAATTATAATGGTAACAAAATCCATTTAACCCCCAAAATACCCATCTGCCACATCGATCCTTCGTTCCATCCTCATCCCTAAAGTGGGTGTCGGCGCCATCCTCAGCAACCAAATAGCTGTACAAATCCAATATTCCGCTGCCTGTCGATTTCCGAACAGAGGAATCTGAAAATGGCTGTGGCCCTTGGATCCCTCCATTCAATATGGACAGAGCTCTCTCCCTTTCGACGATGCAAGAAGAAAAACAGTACAAGAAGCATATACTAAAGACGCTTAAGAAAAACTGAGACATATTTTTGAGAATAGAAGAATTTTTGGTTTCTTACCCCGTCTTCAAACTCTAGCGTAGCTCTCCAACTTGTTAGCTTTTGAATGCTGCGATGGAAGATATGCCTAAGAAAGAGACGCAAGTATTTAATTATGGAAGGGTAATTTAGTACTTTTACAATCTACTCAGAAAAAAATGACTTCTTTTTATCAAAACTCCAACTTTACATCTTAATTAAAATCATTTATATTCCCAAACACTACCAACTTTTACATTTTAATTAAAATCACATTTATTCCCAAACACTACCAATTTTTACTACAAATCACTTTTCCACTAATCTCTTAAATAAATCACTTTTGAAAAGCACAAGCAATCACAAACACTCCCTTAATCTTCCTCATTTTCTCCTTATGTCTCAATCAAGCCTGAAACATAAGTAGTGAAAGACTTATGTTGGGGGTATTAGATTTAGGCCCAAATACCCCCCATGTGACCCAATCAGCTTACGGGCTCAATTGCAGCTCAACAAATCGGAGAGCTCGCCCGAGATGTCCGCACGGAAACTGCCTGTCAGGCAGATCCTCTCTCATAGGGTTGTAAATAAATCAAATAATTTGTGCTCGATTCGCGATTCAAATTCGTATAAGACAATTCGAATTCGGAAAATTCTATTAAATTTGATTCGAGTTGTTATCAAATACAAATAAGAATGTCAGTGTATTCGATTCAAATATTAATCAAATATATTCGATTAATAATAGTGGTAATATTAATAATAATTTTATTAATAATAGTAATAACACTATAATAACTTATAAAAGATAGCAATACACTCAAAGTATAGCTCATATATGCATACAGATTCCAAGCCTATTTATGATAATTCAAAATATAAATACGAATACAAATCACTTTTTTGGTTCAAATGTCTTTAAATACAATATAAATAATTACTACATATGTATTTGATTCGAAGAATAAAATTAGAGTCGTTTGACTTTAATATATACAATTATCAACTCATTATAAGTATAATTTCTAATATGTGTGTATGTTAGTATTTATTTCAAAAACTTTGAAATAGATTTATGTTTAGTAATCATTTTTTATATTTAGTAATCATAAAATTGATTCACTTTAGTACATCGTGCACAATCAAAAAATGCATTAATCTATTAAATTTGAATTCTAAAAACACATATTAAAGTCATAGCGTGCATTTACAACATAAAAAATACGTAGTACAAGAAAATTTATTTTAAAGTGATATTTGACTAATATTTAACATATGGTCAAATCGATTCGATATTCGTATATGATTCGTTAACTATTCGTATTGTTAAACAAATACAAATACAAATCGAAATTAATATTCATTTCATATTTGAATTCGTATTCGAAAAAAATTAAACAAATACAAATACAAAATCTCAGTATTCGACTCGATGCGATTCGTTTACAACCCTACCCTCTCATGGCTTCTTCTCCAAGTCCATCAACAATCCAAGGAGGACCTCCCAAAATAATTGGCGGGAAAGCTAGAGGTTGGCGTGAAGCACATTTATGCACCAAATATGGCGAATTTTATGGTTGGGCTATCCATTCATGGTTGAGCACATCACCCCCTCCATCTACCTTGTAATATAAATAACAACATTAATTTCATTGTAAATGATTGACAAACTTATATACTTAGCAATAGACTTATCTCTTATTTTTCTGTAATCTTCAGCTTGATCTAGAGGGTCGGAGCTCGGGCAGCATAGGTGTGTTGTAATCGTCTAAGTATCTAATAGAATTGGACTCACTTTGCCTCTTATTGTCTTGCTATTACTTTGGTCTCATTATCGCCTTGTACACTCATTTACTGATCCATCAAAAGAATCTAACGAAAGTCCAAAGGACTGTTGAGCCATTGGACTGAAATTTGCTAGGCTGGTCTGGACTGGTCTGGTCTGGTATGGTAAACGTCTGGTCTCTGTGTATTTTATAACTACGAAAGTCTGGTCTGGTCTGGGACTGTAAACAGTTAAAAAGAAATCATCCTTAACATCAACAATAGTCAATAAATGTGTGAGATTATTTTAACTTTTTTTCAATGCCAGATATTTATTGGCATTCTTAGTGCAAGAATTTAGTGTAAGACGATATTTATTGGTACTCCGGTCCTCTAGGACGTAACCTCAACTATAGTCAACTAAGGGAACTTTTTGGCTATTTTGAGTTTATTGAAGTGGTAAAGAGTACAGTGACCTTAATGATTAGAAAGAACTATATGTTGCTCTTTCGATGGTCAGCGATTCGTGTTGCTTCTGTGGAGGTGTCTGTCTCAAAGTTTGGTCGTGGGGATTTTCTCCAGTCTAGATGGAGTGTTTTGAATGATAGTTGGCCGATTTTGAATTTTTGGCTGACTGTAACTCTAAATTATTGGTTAAAGTAATATAGTTTGACGTTTTCTTTTAAAAAAACTTCTTTAAAACATTCTTTATCAGTGCCAAACGTTTATAGTATGTAAAATTAGATTTTTCTGATCAACAATTTTAATAATATGTTAATTATTTTCACATTCTTTTTTATCATATTGGAAACATTTTATGTTTGTGTCGTACTAGAATTTTCACCCATGCCTTGCACGGGACATGTGTGTATTTCCACCAGTGCATTGCCAGGTTTCCACTTCCTTTTGTATATAGCAGGATATGCATTGCCTTAAAAAATCAATTTTTTCAATTGATATTTTTTTCCTGTGGTGTAATTTTAGGGACAAAAAGTATTGGTGTGAATAATTTTTAAAATGGTATAGTTTTGTGTTGTGTCTGAAGTTATACCCTCATCGTATATGTAAAGTTATAAAAGTTAATAGTGTTAATTTAGATTTAATGGTAAACTAAAGACCACATTTACAACAATTCAGTCAATTGAAGACTAACATTTACAAATTCAAAAATATGGAGACTACATTCTTTTAAATAAAATATTCTGTATATTTTAAATATAATTTTTTTTCATAAATCAGCATAATCAGTCAATTTATTCATCTCAACCAAAACTTCATAAATTTCAGCATAATAATCAAATATAGCCAATTTGGGTAGGGAATTTCTAAATACAGCCCCCATCTATTAAGCGCACACACGCAACATCCGTAACAACATAAAACGATTTTATAATTCCTATTATACCCTCCGTATTTAACACCGCTCGACTGGAGTGATTTTGGAACTTCGCTCATGTCCTCTCGTTGTCCGAACCATTTCCAGATATGAGCTCCATCTCTTATACTCTTTTCTCGCCTGAGCACGATTTCTCAAATAGAGGAAGATGAACGGCGAAAGCAAGTGAGCAAACCATTTCTACTCCATCTATTTTAACTTCCGGTGAGTCAGAAAGTACAATCACTCCCAGACCCATTTCCTTTGTCCGGCCAGCTGGTGAAAATCAATAACAACGATTCCATTGATAGATTCATCCAAATCGAGATCGATCTTCAGTCTAATGCAAGAGAGGAGTCAGATACTATACGCTGGCCCTAATTTCGCCCCATCTTGTTATCCCATGATTTCATTAGCTTCCCTTCAGCATCCCATCGCTGGTAAGAGTAAGTTTACTTTGGTGCATCTAAATTTCATCAAAAATGTTGTAATTTCTTTTGTCACGGGTACAGAGTATTACACGTAACCAATCAAAATATGGTTTGCAAAATAGGGAGTAATCTAAAAATAAAAAAGTTCTTATACAACTAGTAATGGTCTAGTATTACATTGTGTTTTGCTGAACAATGAATATTAGTGTGTTTAGATATATTACTTTAGCAACTTTATAAAAAAGATTGGTGTATCAGCTTCTTAACTCATGAATTAGTTTGAGTGTTATTTTATACGTAGTACTATTTTAAGGTTTCACTAGAAATATTTTCCATTAAAAATTAATATAAAAGATTAATTTTATGATTCAACTGAAACAAAATATCAAAACAAATTGTTGAATGACCAATTGTTTTGGTGACCAGTGTCATGGTCGGGACTGGAGTCCACCATTTCCAGACAGTAATTGAGTTTTAATTTTTGTGATCTGCTTTTGCTTGAATCTTAAGTAGTATATGTGAGAGATATGATAAGTGATCACTTCACCTTGTATAGTAGTGATTTTTTTTATACAATCATATCTCTGTATCCAAATTTTAGGCACTAGACATGATAAATGAGCTTCTTAGGATTCAGCCACAGTTTCTTGTTTATACTCACACAAGTTTGGTGAGAGGTTCAAAGAAAGATGTACACCAAGATGCTACCCATAGGTGGTTCTTTTTAATAAAGTGCTACAAATAGGATTAAAACATTTATAGAGTTCATAGTACCACAACTAAATGTTTTAATCCCCATATGGTTCTACCTGCTCCATAATAACTGAGAATAAAGTTATGTACTACTATAGTACATCAAGATGTTACCCATAGGTGGTTCTTTTTAATAAAGTGCTACAAATAGGATTAAAACATTTATAGAGTTCATAGTACCACAACTAAATGTTTTATTCCCCATATGGTTCTACCTGCTCCATAATAAATGAAAAATAAAGTTTTGTACTACTATAGTACACCAATGACTAATGCAAGTTGAATCTCGTATAAAATATAAATCTGCAATGTAGACATTCAGAGAAACAAGAAAAAATGAGTTATAACTTGTACATATAACTTGCCACTCCATATAACTTGTACATATAACTTGATCAAAATCGCTAAAAGCAAAGTTTCCTGGGGTTAAGCTTGAGCAAGTATCAGCCTATTTGTCTTCGAGGTCAATAACTTCCTTACTACGATCACCTAAATGTGCTGATTGAATGTCATTAAAATCCTTAATACGAGCTAAATACGGGGTCTCCCAGCCTATTGCAGAATCAAGTCTAAAATGTCTCCAATTTGCAGCAATTGGAGGTATTGGTGCAGAAGGATCCATTGAAACCTACAATATATAAATGATATTAAAATATTAAAATTTATATAGTAAACATTTTCCCATAAAATGCAAATTAAATCTTATAATAAAAATTACCAAGTCTTTTACATACTTGAATATAGTGATTGCCATTTACAAATCCTAACACTAAGACCCTATGATGTTGAAGAGGTGGATTAGATCGAAGGGGAAGAAATGTCACACATACAGGCTTAGAAAGAAAGACCAAAACCACTTTATATCTAGAAGCAACCAAATGACCCATGTGTGGTAGAGTCATCCAGTTCTTAAATGGCGCTGGAACTCTGAAATAAGATAACTCTTCAAGTAATTGAGCAACAGTTTCTGCAGACTCATAGAAACGAACATAATAAGGTCGATGGTCGCATAACTCTTCAATTAAATCTTCACGAACTTTTGCCCATTTTTCTTCTCCAAAACCTAGTAAACTAGCAATTGCGCGAAAACCGCAGTGTCCATCCGGCTTGACGTCAATTATGTCAAAGATATATGGGTGCAAGTATGACGGTAAATAACCCAAATAATTTAGCAGACTTTTGGTTTTTTTCTTAACAATTTTCTTCCTCACTTTTTGATCTACAACACGTTTTTCACCCA